AAAACATTACTTTATATGCTTTATATGTAACTAATACACTATACTGTGCTGTTGTCTGTGTGTGTGTGTGTGTATGTATATATATATATATATATATATATATATATATATGTGGAGAAAAAAATATATATATGGAGAAAAAAATATATAAATTATCAGAGGACAACACTCACTGGAAGAAAGCTCCACTCTCGGGTTTTGGGATCGTACTTCTCGACAATATCAATAGGAGACTGCTGGCTGCCAAATCCTCCGATAACCAACAGAACCTCTTTGGCACCTAAAACCCATTCCAGTGTCAAAAAAGTATTTGTTCATGACTTTCTTCTAACATGTGCATGTTTAGACATGTATAACTGATTCAGCAAAAGACTGACATAATGAATTATACATACTCACCAGCCACTTTATTAGGTACACCTGTTAAACTGCTTGCAACCTAATGCAACGGCAGCAACTCAATGCATTTATGCATCTAGATGTGATCAAGATGATCTGTTGAAGTACTAGTCTGGGTACTTTAGAAACTGCCAACCTACTTGTATTTTCTTGCATAACCATCTCTAGAGTTTACAGAGAATGGTCCAAAAATAGAGAAAATATCCAATGAGCAGCAGCTCTGTGGGCGAAAATGCCTTGCTAATGTCAGAGATCAGAGGAGAACTGCAATTTGATTTGAGCTGATAGAAAAGAAACTCAAGTAACATTACAAGAGATCTGCAGTAGAGCATCTCTGAATGCAAAACACATTTAACCTTGAAGCAGATGAGCTACAGCAGCAGAAGCACACCGGTGACACTTCTGTCAGCTAAGAACAAGAAACTAAGGCTATAATTCACACTACCTCATCTAAATGTCATAACAGAAGGTTGAAAAAAAAGATTGCTGGTTGGGCTAAAAGTGAGGAGCATTGACTTAAATATGTTAGCTTAAGCCCAGCTCACTGTGCAGTTTTCTGTGTATGCTGACTGTGGACTATGTAGCTTGGGTACGCATATGATCCCCATTTCATACTGTCAGTTGTTCTAGATGTCAGACTGTACAACAAATCAAGACATGTCCACAACTGACACACGCAAGACCAATCTGTAGTTTGATGTCATCAATCCATGACACTTTTAATAACCTATCTACTGAAATGATACCTCAGCAAACAATCTGTAGTGGTAATCTTACTCAAAACTTATTACATCATGTCTGGATAATAAAACCAGAAAATGTTTCAATGGGTTGAAGTTGCCGTGGTGACTGCATCATCAGTTTCACCGCTCCAATTGGTTTTTGATTTGACACTTGTTTCAAGTGAAATCTCACAGTGTCTGAAATCTTTGAGCCCTGCCAAAATTTAATCAGATGCAAAATCCTACCATCTCTATTCTTTGGCTTAGTCCCTGATTTATCACACCAGATTTAATTACCAATTCATCTGCCAAAGGTTTAATGCGGCAGATGCCCTTTCAGCCACAATCCAGTGCAGGGAAACACCCATACATTCTCACACTCCACAGACAGAAATGCCTCCTGGCCCAGCCCGGACTCAAAACAGTGACCTTCTTGGTGTGAGTCGACAGTGTTAACCATTGAGCCACCACAAATCTGATCACAATAGATTTTAGACTGGATATTTTCCCCCATATTTCCAATTTTTCGTAATTTGTCTCAGATGACTAAATCATGGCCAAAATTACCCAGTGTGAGCTGGTCTTTATTTCTTGCGGACTGCTTCCATCACTTTATGACCAATGTAAGCTCATCTATTGCTTACTAAGTATGAAAGCAGCTCTGAAGGCAAAAGGGGGTTTAACCCAGTGTGTACATAAAAAAGTAGGCAGCAAGTGTATATTTAACATTACTGAAATATTTCAGGCCTAAATACTGAAAACACACAGAGGTGTCAGACCGAGTCTTGCTTGGGTTCGAGGACTCTGCATCTCGCTGCGTAACTCTGGACGAAGATGAAACTTCTTTGCTTCATCCACCAAATCTCGGCAAGGCAGACTACAGCGTATCAACGGCTGAAACACATCAAAACAACACTCAATCTTTGACCCCATAAACAAACATCCTTGATTTAATTGCAGCATTCTGTACATTCATACAAGCAACATGTATACGAATGTCAGAATCTGACCTCTGCGTCAATGACATCAGTGATGTATCGAGGGGTGAGCAGGGGCATGCGCACGTATTCCAGCAGATCAGGCAGGTACGGCTCTCTCTCCTTTCTGTTGTGCTTCACCCAGTTCAAAACAGCCTCAAATACTGGCTCCTCTGAATCAACCTATGCACATACAGATTTGTTAAAACCCCTTTGGCAAAACTAACTCTATTTGTTGCTTTTAATTTTCATATCAGATCTGTGACTTAAACGAGAAACCATAAATTTAAGTCCAAACGCTGCAATTACACCTTTACAATTATTGGACTGTGGTGAGAGACAAGAATGTAACAACAAAAGGCCGGTGTTTTTGTCTGAGAGTCAGCATGTACATAAAACGAGAATAAAAATGGCGGTTACAGGTTTGTACTTGCATTTTAGTACAGAAAGTCCCAAAAATACTAAAGAAAGGCCACTTGAAACATGCAGAGCAATATGTTTGCATGAACTGGTTCCTATGTGCAAATTTCGCAGAGTACTTTACTATATAACTGTTCAGACATTGTGTAAATTTGAAGTTATAGCATTAAAAAGATTAATTTAATCGATTCACCTTCAAGTGGTTCTATACCTTTATGAGTTTCCCTTTCCTGTTCAACACAAAAGGAGTTATTTTGAAAAGATGTTGTGAACCTGTAACCACTTACTTCCATAGTAGGAAAAACAAATACTCTGAAGGTAAATGTTTACAGGTTTTCAACATTTTAATCAAAATAACTATTTGTGTTCAACAGAATAGTGAAACTCACTAGAGAATAACGAAACTGAAGTTGAGTAAATTGTCAGTTTTAGGTGAACTGTTGTTTTTTATAGTATTGAGAGTATGTGACAATCTTTTTGTTTGTGTACTGATCTGCACTACTCGTGTAGATGATTATATAATACCATTACAAGTGTCAAGCACATAAATGGCCAACCGAAATCAAACTTGTAAGTGTGAAATTCAGAATTACAGATGATAGAAAGAATAATATGTATTTAGTCATTTGAGTAAGTAAAGTCTGTATTAAACAGAGCAGAATGACTTCAATATTTTGAATTGTACGGGTTGAAATTCAATAAATTTTAAAGCCGAACTAAACAGCTGATAGACAGCAACTTTGACAATTTGCTTTATGAAACAAATATTGATTTTCTAATCATGTGAAAATAAAGAAATAGAAATTAACATTTTGTTTAATTTTGGAATGGATTTAGACGTGGTTATTTGGGTTTACCTCATTCATGGTTCTGACATGAAAGCTTAAATGGTTAGTTTACCCAAAATCTGTTTTATTAATTACTCAACTCTCATATCATTCCAAACTTCTGAGATCTCCATTTATCATCAGAGCACAAAATTAAGATATTTCCATTTTAGAGCTTCATATGATTACAATTGAACCACTGAAATCACATGAAATGTTTTCAACAACGTTTTTGATTTCTTTTCTGACTTTTAAACCCTTTTCCAGTCTATGGAGGGAGCTCTTCAATTGAATCTAAAATATCTTAATTTTTTCTCTAAAGATGAACGAAAGTTTCAAAGCATTGAAATGACGTTTAAAAATGTACTAATATGTAAATTTCATGAAATATGAATACTTCAATACAATACAGTACGAGGAAAAGCTGTACGGCAAAAGAACAGTGTAAAATTACATATTCTAAAAAAACTGGGCAAATAGTATACCGATGACCTGGTACTTCTGTTAACAATCTGGAGTGTGCATTTAATAAACACTTTACTATCCCAAGAGACCACACAATTTCACTATCCCATGAGACCCTGGGACAGGGTTTATGTACAGCAGTGAAGCAAAAACAACTGAAGCCGGCAGGTCATGTGACAGTAACAACAATCTTACCTGGATCTCATCACACTTGATGAGTTTTTCCACTTCACTCTGACTGAGCAGCATGAACTCTTCCTGTTGTACCACCTCAGCAAAGTGTTTCTGTGAGAACAGCTCGGCAGCCTGCATCAAGTCCAGACAATTGTGCGTTTCGGCAAAGTCTCTGATTCCCAGACAGTTTGACGGATCTAACTGGCTATTAAGAAAATCACAGCACGCTCTCTTCACACCTGTAAAAAACAAACACACAATGGGTTTTTGCATTTTATGAGAACCTCCTATAGATGGACATTATGATTGTATACTGTACAGACTTTGCATGCCATCACAAGAAATGTTTATTTTTTACCTATATTTATATATATAAACTAATTATTTTATTTGTCTTTAAATGTTTTTAGACACAGTTTACATGTAAACATTTTTAGTGTGATGGAAATTTTTAATATTGATGATCATATATTGATGATTGACAATTATAAATATATTTATATTATACACTGATTAGGGTCTTGCTAAAGTAAAGCTTAAATGCATAATCATTCAGCTATTACAGTGATGTGTTATCTACTGGTTGTTCAAGAGTTAAAGAGCTGTAGAGAAATTCTTATGTAAAACATTGTAACATTGTGTAAAAACGGCTGTGAGCTCATCCTTGGGATCCTTTTGCTCAGAGAGGCTGTCTGTGTATAAACTGATCATTGTCAGAGAATTAAAGCAATTAAAAGACAAACTTTGTCTGACTGTTCAATTTCAGTCTTCACATTAAAACATTAAAATGTATTCCTTGTGAACATTGGGAAGAACATAATTGAGGAAAAATGTTAATAACTATATTAAATGTTTAACAGAAATATACTTCCAATAGTACCAATTATTGTCATTTTATAGATAATTTATTTTCATCACAAATTTATTCAATTGAAATAAAAGAAAATTCTATTTTTTAACAGGTTGTTGAAGAGTTTTACTGTATTGTGAAATTCTGTCCGTGTTTTTCCACATTTGGCTAATCGTAGGGCACAACTAACTCCAACCTTAAAAAAAGTAAAAAAAAAAATGAACCCAAAATGAAATTAATTTAGCCAGTAAATTATCCGGTATGATTTATAATCCGTTTTCCATTTTGTCATCTAAATGTCAAAAAATATCTGAGATTTATGGTCCTTTTCAGATATTTTGCCCAAACAAAGTAGGGAGCAAATGCACCACACACAAAACACATGACACTGGCTTATGCATTAAATACAGCAGCACTGCATACTCTCAAAAGGCAAATGAGGAAACAAAATAACTACAGACAAGTATCTAATTCAGTGCGTCACGATGGCACAGTGGGTAGCACCATCACCTCACAGCAAGAAGATCGCTTGTTCAAGCCCCGGCTGGGTCAGTTGGTACTTCTGTGTGGAGTTTGCATGTTCTCCCCATGTTCGAGTGGGTTTCCTTTGAGTGTTCCGGTTGCACTATAGGTGAATTGAACAAGCTAAATTGGCCGTATTGTATGTGTGTGAGTGCAAGAATGTTTGGGTGTTTCCCATTGTTGGGTTGCAGCTGGAAGGGCATCGGCTGCATAAAATATATGTTAGATAAATTGACGGTTCATTCCGCTGCCGCGACCCCAGATTAATAAAGGGACTAAGCCGAAAAAATAAAATAAAAAGAATGAATGAATAAATAAATGAAGAAAGTATCTAATTCAAGGGTTTCTTGAGTGTTATGTCTCCAGTATCACTTATGGCAGACAAACCCGTTTTTTTATTGGTGTGCTGGGATACATGTCTTGAATGCAGATTGATTTGCCTGAGGGATTAGTTGTTTACATCGCTGCTCTTAATAATGACTTCCATTTCCTTCTGCAAGGCAGCCCAGAAGCCTGATGCTGCCATCCTCATTCTTGACAAAAAGGATGGGGTTTCCTGGGTGTCAGGCTAGATTTTGTTTGTGCCAAAAATAAATGTTTCACTTTCAGGACAAAAAGCTCAACTTTCAAATAAGCAGATTTCAGGTTTCATTGTGGGGCTTTTGGGTATTTGTTTTTTGGGTCACAGCCCTTCTTAGAATTATCTTCTAGATTGAGTTCTCAAAAAATATTGTTGATGCCTGAACAGTTTTTCGCATTTCAGTCAATGCTCAAGTTGTTTTCTACATGTCACGTTGCTCAATTCTGATAGAAGATCCTGCTCTTGAAAATATCTGAAATCAATTGTTTTCCATTTTGTTTTCAAGAGCATGGTGTTTATTACAAGACCTTTTTTTACAACTTAATCTTACAGTAGCAAATATTTTTACATAATAAAAGATAAAATGCATTTATAAAAGCCCTATAAAAAAGTAGGTATACTAGTAAACAGGTAAAAAGGGACTTTGTCAATGCCTTTTTTGTATTTCATACCAAGGACTTTCTTAAAAGAAACTGTTAAGAGAATACTTTCACATGTACAATTTTATTTTTGAAATGAAGTGTTAGATCACCCAAAAAGGCTAATTCTGTTATTAATTCATTACTTACATTTGTAATGTAATTTCATACCATAAGGTTCAGTCTAAATATTATAAAGCAATGAGAATATCTTCGTGCACATAAACAAAAATAATGACTTTATTCAATAGTTTCTTCTCCTTAGTGTCAATATAGAGTGCGTGATGATGAGTGTGTGACTTCCTGTTTGAAACAAAGCACATCAGCAGCACGACGAAGCTCATTACAAATAGAGCCCTCTCGTAAAAAAAGGGCACACTATACTGACACTGTGGAGACTACTATATTGGGGAAGGGTTAAATATAACAAAACTTGTGGAGATCAATTAAATTCTTCTCTCATCTTTTGCTGAATAGCAGCTCTAATAGCAGGTCTTTGGGAATAATAGCTCGCTTAGTTCATGCAGGTTTGTACAGGAGTTTGTCTCCTTCACAATTAAAAATCTCTGAGTCCTTATTATGCTTGTCTCTCAGCAAGCTTTTTATTATTCATTACCTCACAAAAAATTAATTATATCAAGCAGTGCGATTTTTTTTTTTCCCACACACAGAGCAGGTAAAAAATGATGTGATTTATTCAGGTATGATGATCTTGCATTTTACGCTTTGTGTATACTGTATAAAACTTGTTAAGCATTTCATAAGCTTTCAATGTTTTTTTTTTTGGTAATGTTAAAACCTAATGACAGAAATATACATGGTCTAGGCTGATTTGTGTTCCTGTACCTTTAAGCTGCAGGAGACAGGCAGCGGGCAGCAGCTCCTGGACGTTTTCTACTGTGACCAGCACTGTCTCTGTGTAAACAAAATCCAGCAGGATCTCCATAGTGGACGCTGTGAGGCCCTGAATGTCCACAAAGGACTTCCCTTTTTCAGCAAGCTACAGAATAGAAAAAAAAACAAGATTTTTGATTTCTTTTTACAAACACAATAAAAAAAAACACTAAAAAAACCCACATACATTTATAAGAGCTTTTCACACTTGAATAATTGTATTCAATTTATTTTAAACCCTGGGTTATACTGCTTAAAATTTACCTGGGGTTAACAATTAATCCTTGGTTATTCATACACTGCAGTTCACATTGTGCAATCCTAATCCCCAGGTTATCATCCTTATTTACATATTTGTGGTGTCAGTGTCACTGATTGGACAAATGCAGCACACCACCTGTTTTTTAAAAAAGGGTCCAATGCTATGCATCCTTGTATTACATAATGCAGAGTGCTGACAGCCATTAAGATTTTCAATGGACTTTTTTAGACAATACAAGCAAGAAAGAAATTTTCTTGTCCAATTGACATGATTTCTTTCACAAAAAATACTATGAACAATGTTCATGAGATGGCCAAAAGCACATTAAATATTGGGATGCTAAATATTGTAATATTTTAAAACCACAACTTTTCAACCGGAAAATATTTGACACCACAAAAGTGATGCTAGTTCTGATCTGGAAAAGGTTTCATAACCTTGGGTTAAAAAAGCAGCGTAAACCCATCTCTAAATTTCAAGGGTAAAAGCTTATGATAAGATAGTCTGCTCACTCGGCGGGAATATATGCAACGCCTCCGTGACAAAGACAAAAAGTCCAAGACAAAAGTCCTATCTGAATGAATTGAACTTACAATTAAATTACATCAAAAACAAAAATCAGATGTGATCCCTAGCATTGTTGTTGTTGTTGCTCAAGTCTTAATTACTTTTAAAGCATGTAACATCTAGCTTCTGCACATGAGCAAAGATAGCCATGACACCAATTTTCTTTACAGCTAACTGGCTGGTAACCAGAAGACGCAGTGAAAAACAATGAAAAACAGAGCCAAAACCTCAATATGTGATGGGATGTGATATCAGCTCTTCAGTCAAATTTTAAATCACAGGCACAAAGTGGTCATGATAGGGGTTACCATAACAAACAAGCAAATCGTACGCACAGCTTTCCCAATAATCACCCAGCCCTATTATTCGGGTCCCACGCGCTTTCATGAACAGCAGATTCAAGGAAATGTAAGGAATTTTTAAAGGCCCTTTAATTTTAAATCAAGCACCTCTGTAATTCAAGAACCTGCATATGTAGCGCCATGAAAGTACTAACTGTACAGTAATTAACATTTAACTTACACTTAATATTTACATTAAACATGTCAGAGTAATTTTCAAAAATGTTGACTGTTTTAAAAAGTCATGTTCAAAGAACTTTGATGAATTCAGTACTGATGATATTCAAGAGCAGCTTCTGAAATATTGGTAAAATGTGTATTAATTGTGAGTGTTATTGTACAAGATTTAAAATACATTTTTATTTATCCGGGGTTTTTTTATTCTGGTTTTGACACTTGAGTACTATTGTTGAAATTAAACCATAAACAAATTTAATTTAAGCACTTTCAAGGACCTGTGTTTGTTTTTAGTTACTTTCCAGGCCTTGAATCCATATGTCTGAAATTCAAGTACTTTTAAGTACTTACAAGAAGCGTGGGAACCCTGTATAATATCGATATTTTTGTCCAAACCTGATCTTACCTATCATTTTCAAGTGTAAACTTAAAAAGTGGCGTGACTATATTTTTTTCTCCTTTTTGTACTGTCAACTCAATTTAGGTTTCAGAATTGATCAAAATTTGGTGCATTTGTGAAGATAAACATGATGAACACAATATGCAAGAATCGTAAACTTTTGCTAGACACGGAGCAGATTTTTTACAATCATCTAAAAGTCAATTAAAATGATCCTATTGGGATTGTGTCAAAGAAAAGGGATGATGTTAAACATCTGGATTGGCCTACAAAACTGCATAGACGCTGCAAAACTCGATTAAAGACTATTACTTTTATCACATATATTATGCACCATTATGTTTACATTACACCATACAAAACAACATTATCTACAGGGGTCACTCCAGTCCAGTATCACTGAACAAATGTCAACAGTATCTGAAAATTAAAGAAACCTCCTGCACCTCCTAGTGTGAATGAGCAGAACTGCAGCTAAGTTGAAATTTTAACCTTTGCTCCAACTTCAGATATGGATTAATAAAGAGAAAACATTAAATGAGAAGGAAAACATGACAATGAGTCAGACTTTAACTTCAATGAATAAGCACTAGATAATGAAGTTGAGGCACATCCGCTAAACTGCAATGTCAAGAGTAAATTGCAAATCCAAAGCAAGTGATGAATGTTAAACATATAATATTATATTATACAACAATAAGACACAACAAACCGCACATTTACTGTGTAATTTACAAACTTTTAGGTCTTCCAAGATGTAGGTGACTTTGGTGACCCCTGGTATTCAAAAAATGCAAATCAATGACTACTGGAGATTTGAGAGTAAATAAAACAATGAATAATTCCCAAGGATCCTCACAATATACAGTGAGGTTTTACACAGCAACATAATCATTTTTGTACAGGAAACCGGACGTTATTTACAATGTCACCTTTAGTCCTACATTACGAAGTTTGCATGGGAAGAAATATTGACACGATGAGTCAACCTGTTTGATTACAACCAGGCACGCAATCAGCTAAGAACAAAACAAGAAGAAAAGTGGATCATCACTACATGTCAACTTGTTTTCAATATTATATAATGACCATATATGAATAAATAAATACATTAATAAATTAATTAATAAAAAAAAAGTAGAATGTCATTTCTATATCTTACATAGGCTTCTGCTGGTATCACATTGTCTTTATGCGATTAACTGTTAAAGCTTTCATCACAATTTACAATATTAATACGATTAATATTGATACGATATTAATAATATTGAGCCTAGCTGCTATATATTTTTTACTTTAACAGGTATAACAAAATGATAAAAATTACGAAATGATATAAGTACAAGTAATAAAACTACAATTAATAAATGTTAGTTATTGCATTAAAAGTGAAAAAAAAAAAAACGCCAAATAGATATTTGTTAAAGTTAATAAAAATAAAAAAAACTAAATTTTGTTAGTTATGAACTCCATTTCATAAAATGATTTTAACTTTTTGTTAATTTGTTATTGTAAACATTAACTACAAAATTATTAAATGGAATAAATTATTTTGTAGTTGTCATTACATTGACATTAATTAAATGAACTAATGTGGGTTGTATGTTGCAATGCTTTGGCTTTTTCAAGGTTAATTATTGTGATATCCCAATTGCAACAGAAAAATACTGTGAAATGTCTCGAGACTGATGGCATTTCGTGCTGTTTGTTCAGCCTCATGATCTTAAAATTTAAGCAAAATCACTCGTTTTGTCTTCACTTTAGACATTACACTAGAGAATCAAATACTAGCTCTAAAATGACATTGTTGAAGTAGCAACGGTTTCTGCTGTTGTTCTGACATCAGCTGCAGATGTGAAGGAATGGTGGAAGAAAGTACAAGTTCTTAGTCCTTGTACAAAAGGATTTATAGACTCTCCGCGTTTAATTTTCTTTTTTATATACATGATTAACATGTCAAACTGTTGAATAAACGCAATATCACACGAGTAGCAGTGCGATGTAGCTGTATATTGTCACTGGTGGGACACTAAAGCACTCTGCCTGCGTCACACCTCCCACCTGTGCCGAAATACAGTCATATCCCACTGCTAAAAGGTGATATTGCATATACACAAGTCTGAAAGCATTTGGCAGCATGATGAACAATCATTTAATACAATAGTTCTGAATATTCAGTCTAAAAGTTGAAATAATAAATAATTATTCACAGCATTTTAAAGCGCCCACAATATTAGTGTTGTGCATGTTCATTATCATGATATATTTTTGAATTCGACATATATCCAATTTGACAGTAAAATAGCAAATACAACACGGAAAACAGTCTCTAACTTTAATAAAAAATGCTAAACTAAATATTCCAAACTGTCAATTATGTGCTACAAATAATGTTTGGTTTCTTTCACTGACAGATCATTTTGTCTTATAAGACCTTAATGTAGAAAGAGGAGAATCATAGATATAAATTTAGCTTTGCTTGTATTTGTTGATGTTTTTGCCGCTCAAATTGCTGGTCATTTGCATTAAATAAATCATCCAGCATCACAATTTTAGTTGAAAATCATTTTAAATGTTCCACTAAAGTAAAAAGCCAATTACATCTTGAATGGCCTCAGGTTAAGCAACTACACAGCAAGTTTTACTCTTTGGGAGAACTGTGCCTTTAAGACCACAGTGATTTCAGCAACATGACACATGTAATGTGGCTACAGAGGGTGTTTGTTACCTCACTGGTGAACATGGCGCAGAAATAATCACTGCACGCCGCCAACACAATGCGGTGGGCAGGAAAATCTGTGCCCTCCACCCTCAGAGTGATGTCACACAGCGTGTTGCTCTTTCTCAGGGCGTTCATGGCATTCAAGATGGATTTGGCATGAGAATTGGTCATGATGTCCTTGGGCGCCATGACGACAGGGGGCGGGGTGGAGTGACAAAGCCTCAGGCACTGCAGGATGATGATTTCTGCAGGACACAAACTAATCAGTGACCATCTTGAAAACAACACAGCAGACCAAAAAAAAAAAAAAAAAAAAACACACACCAAATCAAAAGTAGGATTGTCCTGATCTTCAAAAATACAAATATATTCTTGATTATTGATCTACTATACGTTTGAATATTGTATATGTTGAAGATTTAATAGGGTGTTTTAATTTATTTGACAAACAATATTAAACAATAAATATTTGACAAACAAACAACTTCCCATGTTAATCTGGCCTACGATATGCTCGAGATATTGATCCAAATGTTCTGCTTTGTAATAGGCCTAATGATTGTCAACACTTACCAATATGACTCCATTTTGACATCCAAAATGGATTGTGAAAACTATGTTGTTCATTTTTATATAACTGTTTTATTTTAAGTAGCTAATGACAAAATTATGTTGTATTTTTTTTTTTTTACTAAAATTAGCTTAAGTAACAATTGTAGCTATCACAGTTGTGTTAGTGATGCATTAATTAGCATTTACAAATGACTAAGGCCAGACAGAATCTGTGGACATTTTTTGATATTTTTGTGCAAAATTTCGTAAATAATCTGTAAATTTATGCGGAATGATTTTGGGAGTATCATAACTGACAACTTAATATATGAAATCAACAAATACTACATTTTTAACTTTTATTGAATGTTTTCAATGCAAATTCAATTTGATCCAATTATTTGGTAAACAAAGCAAATCTCTCATGTAATAATATATCTACTAAAAGACAGAAAACATTACTTTACCAACTGTATTGTAACTAAATCAAATGAACATTTTCATATTAGACAATAATATTACTGAAATTAATTAAAAAACTTAATAAATATAAATTTACACAAGTAAATAAATGGACGCAATGACGGGCTAAAAATTTGCAGATTTCTGCACATGCACATTGCATGTGAGCCTACTAACGACACCTTACTGTAGTGTAAAGTATTACCTGTTGTAATAATTTTACAGTTTAATTTGTCAGATTAATTTATTCTTAACATTTACATATAATAAAGCAGCAAACAAATTGTTGAGATATTTTTGGGTTTGATCAGATGTGCTCCAACATTAGGCACATTCAGATCAAGACTGAAAACACATCTCTTTAGCTGTGCCTTGAATGAGCACTGCGGTACGTCAGACAGATCACACTATTATGTCTTTCATTTTCATTCTTTTATAACTTGTTTTAACACATTTATCTATTTTGACTCACTTTTATTATTTGTTTTATTTTCTAAAACTTGTCTCATTTATTCCTGTTTATGTTAAGCACTTTAAATTGCCACTGTGTATAAATTGTGCTATATAAATAAACTTGCCTTGCCTATTATTATTGAAGTAACTTAATTCCAGCTCATGTCAATATTGTGATAATACCATGAATCTTGATAAAAGTATCAGCGATTATCTAAACTAATTTTAAATTGCAATACCTATTATCAATCCATACGATCTTCTTCTGTGGGAAAAAAAGAGATATTATAAAGATTGTTGGTTAACACGCAACTTTGGTTCCCATTGATGATGTTCATTGTATTTTCACTCCACACACTTGACAATAGGCATGGGGCGATAACCAGTTTTAAGGTTTACCCATGGTTTGGAAAAGTCAAATTTTTAAAACCACCAAAGTTTTGTGTTATACCATTCCTGAGATATATTTATTTATAAGGTATTTTTTTTTTTTTTTACAACCATTTTATTTCGTTTTTACTGCAACAGTATCTTCAGCAGAAAAGAAACCTCTACATCAAAAGCTACTGGTTCAAAATATTTTAATGTTTCCTAGAATAAAACATATTGTGTTCAATGGGGCAAAAGTTGTTGTTTTTTACTCAGACTTTTAAAAAGAACTTAAAGCAGTAATCACAAAACCGTGAAAAACGTGATATTTTTATACTAGGCTATTATACCATCAGAATCTTATACCAGCCCATGCCTACCTGACAATCAATGTGAACCGAAAGTGTTTGGTTACCAACATTCTTGCAAATACCTACTTTTATGTTTAACAACAGAAAGTCAGTCATGGAGTATATTAAATATTGACAATCTATTTTGATAGGATCATTTCATTACAATCAGACCCTTTTAATTGTAAAGTCTAGATTTGATACGCGGCCGGCTGTGAGTGCAATATGATCATCAATATAGCAGCATTTTTTATTACACTGTATAACAATAATTAATATATTTACAGTACTGTCATGGTTGGGTTTAGGGTTGGGGTAGACATTAAAAAATACAATTTATTGGGTAATTTAATAGATAACATAATTAATACTCAGTACAACTACTGTTTTACGTTACTGTGACGGTTGGGTTAAGGTAGGGGGTGGATTGTAATAAAATACAATTAATGGTAAATTTAATAAACAACAGAAATCATTTTCGATAACTTCTGGCCGCAACCATACCTGATCTAGCAACAACCCCTTTTAGTCCATACCTATCTGTATTGTTGCTTATAATCTGACAGGTGTTTGTTTATTGAGAATATAAATTTTTAAAGGATTAAATGTTATTAAAAAGGATTTAGCATTCTAAAAATACCTAAATAAATAACTTCAATGACAGAAACAAACATTTGGGTTTAAGAACATTGAGATTAACTATTAAAATGTCACGCTTCAGTGTAACTCAAAGCTTACATTACATAATTTCATATATCTTTTTTAGCAGCTTATCAAATAGATAAAATAATTTCTAATCCTACTATTTTAAACAATGTAGAAATAAAAACAATAAAATATTTCAAACAAGATCTAGCTGTGATTTATGAAACATTGCGCTTGTGTGGTCGATTAAACAAAAATCGTTCCTACGTATGACATGGTAGGTTATTAGTATAACTTTATCTGAATATGTTCCTGTAAACCAGGTGGGAGTTTAAGTGAGGTGAGATGAGGCTACGTGCTAAAGCTAACTATAAACGGATGCTAACCCACACATTATCACAAACATCTCAGTAAACTCACTGCGTCCAGCGGATCCACAGGGAAACAGAATCGACCCGGGCCAGGATGACAGCTGACGGTGGTCTATTTGGACATCTGTTGCACCCTTTACATGAAAACCATCGCAGGTGTAAACTCAATTTCACTCCAGCAATGAAAAGAGCAGCGCTCACGTGTGCGCGCATCCCCAGCAAAACACTGCGACGTCACCAACGCGCCTGCGCATTGTAACAGCGCCGTGCTCGCGCGTTTTGCCAGAACAGATTGATACCTTCATATTATTGCTTGATTATGAAACATATACACATTTATAGAACGTTAAAATTTATTATGAAAGTATTGTTATATAAAACAACTCGACTGTAGAAACTTTCAGATAAACCCAAAATATAAATTTTGTGTATTTATTGCCATTTGTATAACTAGCTTTAATACAAATTCTATAGTTAGCATAGCAAACCATGTCGTAGTGACCATGGTTGAACTAAAATATTTCTTTGGTTGCATTTCTAGTAAAACCATGGGCAATTTTAATAAGTCAAGTAAATAAAATGCTAAATATCCACATGTATCTACTAAAGAACAAACACCACCACAAGCATGTGGCTGAGAAAACTGATATTGCGTTCTTTACAGAGGAATTTGTTAGCTTCAAAATTCACATTTACTCTAATACAGCATAATTATGTTTAAAATGTAGTTCTAGTGCTCATGCTGAAATTATTTGCTGCTTTTTTAAGTAGTTCTAGAAACAAGCACTTTAATTAGTAATGTAAATTTAGTCACAATTTAACTAAGTGCATCCAAGTCATGCCCATGATTTTTATTATATCATGGCCACAAGTAAGATTTCATTTTCATGTTAGTAAGTGTGTGTATTTCATGTTGTCTTCCATAGAAAAAAAATATAAAGAAAAATAAATTATATGAAATTAAAAAGATAACAGGCAGCATGGTGGCGTAGTGGGTAGCACAATCGCCTCACAGCAAGAAGATTGCTGATTCGAGCTCAGGGCTGGGTTGGTTGGCATTTCTGTGTGGAGTTTGCATGTTCTCCCCGTGTTCGCATGGGTTTCCTATGGGTGTCCCGGTTTACCCCATAGTCCAAAGACATGTGCTATAGGTGAATTGAATAAACTAAATTGGCCATAGTGTATGTGTGTGTTTCCTAGTGCTGGATTGCGGCTGGAAGGGCATTCGATGTGTAAAACATATGCTGGATAAGTTGGCGGTTTATTCTGCTGTAACGACCCAAGAATAATAAAGGAATCAAGCTGAAAATAAAATGAATTAATTAGATAACAACATTACCAACAATTACATTTAAAGGGCACCTATGATCAAAACCTACTTTTGGAAGCTGTTTGGACAGAACTGTGTGTAGGTATAGTGTGCCTACAGTCATATTGGGGTGATATAAACACAAGTCTCTTTTTTAAAATTTACTGATGTTAAAATAGGATCCAAATCTCAGTGATTTTGAGGTCAACCATAACATGACAGTGGAGTGTTTTTTTTTTTTTTTCCTGTCCACCGAATTGATTGACGGGTGCCATTTCTCCATAATAACATGTATATATGTGTCCACAGATTCTTTTTTGCAAAGCAACTAGGATTAAATATGTTACAAGTCTCAGCGGCACCTTAATAATTAATTGTATGAGTTTAAAACATGTTTAAAACAGAGCATGCTTGTAATAAAAGTGTAAAAATCACTGTAATTCCTAACCACTATAATCACCACGGCTGCATGGTGTCAGTAAACAGCATTTGTGTGAGACTTATCATTTCAGAAAGGCTTGAATAGACTTCGCCGTAAACACATCAAATGAACTTACTTCGTATTTTTGACTCGTGAACTTATTTCAGCTTCATCCGTGTCTGTTTTTTTATATTAATGCATGAACAACATATACAAAACAATGCCAGGGATACATCTGTGTCTGTTTCCATCACTGAAGGCTGTTTATCTGACATAACACTGGAAAAGCAGACATGCACGTGGGAATGGTGGGTGGGGACAAGCAGCTCATTTGCATTTAAAGCCACAGGCTACAAAAACAGCTACATTGTTTTAGCAGGGTATATACAGGAATCCTAAAGATAATTTCAATACCTTTAAGACTTTTTCCAAGACCTTCTCAGAATATTTTAAGACCTTATCACCACTTCAAGTTATATGTATTAAACCTTCAACTTAATAAACAGTTGTAGTTAAATAACTCAATGGAGCACAACCATGCAACAGAACTCAGATCAGCGCGAAAGAAACAAAGCTTGAAAGAATAAATTACACAGTTGTTTTCAGCGAACTGTTTAAACTCGTTGTTCTCCAACCAGGAATACGCAAACTTACATTTTCCTATTTTGCCGTCTGTTTCACTACATAAGGAGAGCGTCACATCACATTCGCAAATTACATGACATCAACCAGACAGAGGAGCTTGGTCTGAACCAATTGCGTGGATCGAGCATGCCGTTGTTAATACTAGAAGGAAAAAAAAATATATTTATGCTTTTTTGGAGTCAAACACTTTGGACAACGCTTAAAATTTAAGACCTCGTGAAAACGCGAGTAAGACTTTTTAATTAAGGGCCTTAAATTTCTCATAATTGATTCATCAACCTGTAATACTTTTTAAAACTTTGCTGACATCCTGGATCAAGTAGGAAAATTCTACATTATATAATAAATAATCTAATGGGTATTTTGAGCTGAAACTTTACAGACACATTCTGGAGACATCAAAGTCTTATCTCACATCTTGTAAAAGGGGTAAATAAGTGCCCTCTAAGTTATAATGTAAACTGAATAATGAATGTTATTTCAAAATATTAATCAAACAATTATAGTATTAATTAATACTAAAACAACATCCTTCAACCATAACAACTGAGGCAAATGTATATTAAATAAATATCTCTTTTTGGAAAAAAGACCATTAATTAAAGCATACAATTCTGAGTTTCATCTTTATTCTGCTCATTTTAAATATCTTGACTTTCAAAATCTCGGCAAGTAACCTGGACTGAAACCCTGATTCACTCAAACAAAAGATAAAACAGCATTTGCCTGGATCTGAATCCCACTGCTAAAGCCCTGGGTCAAACATTTCAGGTCAAAAGTTAATAAATGATCATGCAGACAGGTTTGAGACAACTGAGACCAAAGCATGTATATATGCATCTTCCCTCAAAGTCTCAGAAAGTAGAGAACCACAAACCAGTAAATCAAGTCCTTGATGAAAAACCACTTATTAGATCAGGGAGAGCAAAAAGAAAACGTGTTGGAGGTATTGCCACCTCTGTAATACTATATGACTCATTCCAGTGATTTACAATAATTGCTGTGCTGTATTGGAATAGTAAAGAACAATATAAACACAAGACTGCCTCAATTATCAAGAAATGTTAAGCGTCTTAAGAAATAAACATCTTATTCCAATACATGTTAAAATCCTTCAGGTATAATAAAAAGTTGGAAATCAGCACTGTGTCGGGTCTAGGTTCATTGTGAAGTGAGCAGGCACTGGCCAAAGTTCAAGTGATTTGTTTTCTTTTTTACTTTTTTACAGCAGAGTGTCGTCAGTGCAGCCTCCTTCCAGACCATAGCGAAACTCCTGCAGGTTTGAGATCCCATAGAAATGAACAAACGCCGCTCCAACCACTAGAACATGGAATATCTGATGAGACTGAAACTGAGAAAGCAAAACAGATACACATTTAGTACACCCGTGTTAAGATTATGTTTGTGATTAGGCTATTTATAGTACTAACAAAACTGCACACATACAATTATTATTTTTATAATATCATTTTTAATAATAAACGTAAAAGATTTATTGAAAATGTGAAATGACAACTTAAATAAAATACTTTTAAACTAGAGATTTAAAAAATGGTGGATGCTGGAGAAAATGTGGAATGTATTGGCTGATCATTTCCACATATTTTAGGATTGTAATATATTATACACACCTATTAGCAAGATTTGTATATGGGGATTGAATCTGGAATGTAATTTAAAAACTATGTGACTAGGAATTTACTCTTTAAAAATACCAAAAAAATGATGCATATCTTCTCAATGCACTACTAACAACTAGCAAAAAGGCCATTACAAAGAAATAGCTCAAGGAAGATCCTCCATCTGTAGGTGAATGTCATGATGTTGTAAAAGAGGTTAATGATATGGAAGTGACACTTTCCTTGAGACAACAATCCTATAACATTTCTGCCTACTCGGATAAATAGCTGAGAGGAAATATAATGTTTCAATTTTAATGTGGTGCTTTTATATATATATATATATATATAAAATTAAAAAAATATATATTTATAAAAAAAGTTATAGGCTATAATTAAAAAAAAATTAATAGTTAAATATACACTTGTTCTCTATTGTTAAACAGAATTTATTAGTAAATTTTTTTAGCCATTAAACCAGTCTCTGGTGTCATGACTCTTACGATATATAGTGCTCATTTATGAACAATTATTTTGGTGCTAAATTATTTAAAATGGTTGTTTTTATTGCAAGTACTGAAAACGTACTTTTTAAAAAGTAAAAGTTTTGTTGCTTTTTGGGGCGGAAATACAAGTTTCTCAAGGTATAGAAGAAAAGCATTTTTAAAAATGAAAATCTATTGTAACATTGACATAAATTTGTCACTTGAATTCATTTGATGCATCCTTGCTGAATTGAACTAATTCAATTCTCAACTCAACTCAATTTCTAGAGCACTTTCAACCAACCACAATGTCTACCAAAGTGCTGTAAATACAGAGCTCAGCATAATCGAGTACACCCCATTTTGAAAACGAATATTTTTAATTTCTCAGTGTTTCTCAGAATTATATCCACTTCTCAGTGAATATAGACAATGTATTTTGGTGCATTTAAACATAACAGATTTATTAAACAGATATATTTAATAAAATAATATTTTAGTCACCAAACATATTTAGAAATGGAAAGATAATACAATTAAATTCAAGCCAAATATCGCAAAAAAGAAATTACATCCTACAAAATGTCAATTAAAATTTTCAATGCTTTCGCTTTTCTTGATTTTTCCTGTTTTAAAAATTTGTATTTATTATTTTTCTATAACAAATTTGGGTTTACTAGTTTTTGGGCCATTTCCATAAGTCATTTTGTTAGATAAGCTCCAGATTTGGCTTCGGTACTGACTAATCTAATGTATATGCACAAAAATAATATCGTAAAGCTTCCTATTAAAAATATTAATTTAAAAGATAAACTTGTGAGGGGTGTACTTATATATGCTGAGCACTGTAAAAACACATAATCCGTGAAAACATGCAAGAAGCCAAAATCCATTCTCAAAACACAATTAGAGAAAATAAAGAAAATAAGTGTATTTTCAGTGACCTCTGAAACGACTTTAAAGTATATGTTCTTAAAGAGAGTGGAGGATCATTCCAAAGTCTTGGAGCTGCTACTGAAAAAGCTCTATCACCTCGACATTTCAAGCAATGATCGTGGAAATGTCATAGCAAAACTCCTAGTAATTTACTTTCTGCACTGTAAGACATTTTGCTTTAAAGGGTCACGAAACACCAAAACACATTTTTTGAGCTGTTGACAGTCGTATATGTGTCCCACACTGCTAAAAACACTATTAGGACACCTATATTTCACTAAAAAGTGTAAATTGGTTGTTTTTGCGTTATTTCAAGCAAATTCGTACTTCCTGTTTGAAACGAATTTTTGAAGCTCCGTGACGGTCATGACATAATAGCGTGTATTCCAGTGTGCAGACTGGACGTCTGTGCCAGAGTGAGTCTTATTACGTCTTACAGTGTGATGCATTAATGCATGAGTAAGGCTTGGTTAAAACCAATCAGCGCGCTCTATTGTGCAACTTCATTAATATTCATTAGTGTCACCGCGTTTACGCCACAGAGACGCCACGTTGTGTTGGCAAAACAAGCGTGAAGTGTTGCTTTTATAGTTTGCTGCCATTAAGTTTCGTTTTAATTTTCTCTCTGTGAGAGCTCAGCTGGATCACGTGTGGATTAACAGTGTACGCGACGCTCGACAACAATAACTTACGTGTCTAAGGAGGAACATTGTTTACCTGAGAGCTGTTCTCATCTGCAAACGCTGAAATCCGGATTTGCTTGTAACGTTAGTCTTCTCTTCATAAAGACGCGGCTCTAGTTGCTGGTGATTGTCCTGTTTCTACAGATTTGGTAAGTGAGCGACCAGTGCTCTTTGTTTATTCAGTTTGTTCGTATCGAATTAAGTTAACTATTGCACTGAGTGCAAACATAGCACCGCATTTAGTGACCGGAATAACACACGCGGCTTTCTGACACTACCTGCCGTGTGCATCTAAGTTTCCGGGAAATGCGGAGTTTTTTTTCTCTCATTCGCCGTGCGGTATCAAACATTGCATGAAAAATACACGCTTAGAGCAGTTCCTCGAATCAAATATCTCGTTTGTCGCGAGGGGCATGAATGAATTCCCTGAATGAAAGAGCCAAACTGCAGTTAAAGTCCAACATTTAATAATTTGGCAAATAATTCGACTACAGATGTCCATGTAGGTTAAACACCATCTCTTTCTCCTGTGTGTGTGGGTGTGTATTTTGACTGAAACTCGCGCGTGCCCAAATAGACACTCCCACACCATCCCACTTTAGTTCCTCCGACACTCCCCCCTAAACAGAGCTGGACACGCCCACTTTTCTGACTTTTTCCAAAGTAGAGGTGTGAAAACACCCTGCTGAAACGAGGGGGTTTCATGGCCCTTTAAAAATATTAGGCATTTTGATATTTTTAAACAGAATAATAGAAAATAACTAAATTAGCAGTAATTCAGCATATTACAATGGATTCTAAAGTATTGTTTGACACTAAAGACTGGAGAAAAGGCTGATGAAAATTTACATTTGCATCACAGGAATAAATTACAATAAAAATTAGAATTAAACAGAAAAAACTAAGTAATTTATTGTAAAAAAATTAAGAAATGTTTAAACAATTTGCAAAAATTCACACTGATAAACATCAGATATTCATTTAAAAATAAATAAATAAATAAATAAATAAATAAATACACATTATTTCACCATTAGGCCACTTCACATTATTTACCCAGATGTCACATCTTCCAGGGAAGTAACGTTCAGGTATGCGTGCTGCGTACAGTGCTGCTCCACTGATGTACATGGCCCCCATCAGATAGAACCAGCCCATCTGACCCACTGTCGTCGCCTTCACAAAACCCTCAGCTATGGTAAAGTGCATTGTGGGAACAAGTCCGCTCAGACCGAGGCCCAGGAAAACACCTGAACACATGTGAAACAATGCTTTACCAAACATCTGAAATCAGTTCTGCATGTGGGACATTTTTAAGTGTGTCTGTGTAAGTTACCTGCACGTGTGGACCGGTGGCGAGGAGTGGCAAATCGATCCCATTGAGCCACAATGATCGCAGCGACACCCAGAACACATACGACAGACAGATAGATGAGCCGCGGCTGAGGAGAGCAGTAAAATGAGTAGTAGAGCCACGGAACGAATGAGCCCATGATCAACAGTGCGATACCAGAGTAATCCAACCTAGAAAGAAAGAAAGAAAAAGAAAAAACACTTAAAGGCGTACATCACCCTAAAAGTACATTTTCATCATTTGGCATATCAATGTTCATCTGGTCTAGGTCCAATACATTATGGCTTTCTTTTCTTATCACAGCTTTAATCTTTTTTTGTAATTCAAAAACAGTGCTACCGAATGGTGTGTGACAGGTCATATGTCAATATATCAAGTGTTTTGAGGATATGTGATAGCTTTTGGTGACACATTCCAATATTTAATCTTTATTTTAATGAAAATCCTGACTTGGACCATTAGTTTCTATGCAAAAGCATGTACATGCTGCCTTTACATGCACATGAACTTTAATGACATCTCAATCTTAATCTGTTGGGTTTAACATCGAGCTGACCCACCCTTTGCAGCTATAACAGCTTCAGCTCTTCTGGGAAGGCTTTCCACAAGATTTAAAAGAGAGTTTAGGGGAATATTTGGCCGATCTTCTACAAGAGCAATTGCAAGGTCAGGCACTGATGTTGGCTCATAGCCTCAGCTATATATCATCCCACAGGATTTCAGTCGGGTTAAGGTCAGGACTCTGTGCAGGCCAGTCAAGCTTCTCCACACAACTCATCCATGACTTCATGGAGCTTTCTTTGTAGACTGGTGAGCAGACTGAGTCATGTTGGAACATGATGGTGTCATCCTCAATGCTTTCCCAGAAGTTGGAAGCATGAAATTATCCTAAAAAGGTCTTGGTATGCTACAGCATTTGGAGTTCATTTAACCACAATGAAGGGGTCAAGACCAACCTTTGAACCCCCCCCTACTCAACCGTTGGATTGCCAGACAAACTACTCTACAGTACAGTGTTGGTGTGCTTTACACCACGGTACACCACTTTGCAAGGCCAGGAAGCAGCTGATCAGCCATGGAAACCCATTCTATAAAGTTATCAATGCACTCTTCTTAAACTAATCTGACGACCAAACAAAGTTTGGAGGTCTTGGCTCTGCAAAAAGTTGGTGACTTCTGCACACTGTGCACCTCAGAATGCTGACAAAGTTTCACGAATGTGCAGTTTTTACACAAAGACCAACGATCATTTCAAAATTTTGGTTAAATGGGATATTAGATTTGAATTGTTTTTACCAAACCCAATCAAATACCCCAAGAACATTTATAATATCCAGCAATGATCAAATGGAAAAATTCAGCGTTACTTTTGTGTGTTTTTTTTATTTAGGCAAGCATAAGCATAACATTTTTTTATTTTAAAGTTTAAAGACAAAGGATACAGCAATGGAACAACATAAGGGTGAGTAACTACTTTAAATCAATCCTATCCATCGTATGCAAGCAAACTATCATCACTTACTTGGAAAAAGTTCTGGAAACCTTCTCCGAATGGCAGTAGACTGTGTGAAAAAGCCAGGAGAAGCACAAACAAAGCACTGCACCCAGGAAAAACACGCCAAACACCACCTTCTCCTGCACGGGTGCCATGAACGACACGTTGGGCCGCAGCATTGTCAGTGTGCCCAAGCAGAGGAACAGAATTAGGCCTGCAGGGAGACATTGCGATAGATTAATTAGCTTCCAAAATGACTCCTCAGAAGCATAATTACAGGTCTGACTGACATTTGAAGTCTAAGTGGTGTGCTTAATGTCGTCTACAGGGCAGTGATTCACACATATCAGATTATCAGATTAAAAATATCACACAATCTGTCTTGTAAATTCATAAAGGTGCAAAATGCCTTTCTTTAAAAGCCTGGGGTTATAAGACATACAAAACTGTTGAAATGTTTGGGGTGTAATACATTGTTAAAAGAAATTAATGCTCTTAATTTGCAAGGACAAAATGTATCAAAAGTGACAGTTAAGACATTTGAAATGCAATGAAGATTAAATTTTTTTATAAATTCATATGAAATTACTGTTCTCCATGTTGATAATAATAAAAGATATCTGTTGCATCAGATTAGCTTATTTGAATGACTTATAAAGACACTGAGAACTAGAATTGTGGCTGCTTCAGTATTAAGCTTCCCAACACAAGAATAAATTACAGTTTATATTACATTTAAATAGAAGACATTATTTCATAATATTACAATTTTGACTGTAATTTAATGTACCAAATGAATAAGGCCTTTTTTAACTTATTACAGTGACACTAAACTTCTGTAAAGTGCATATTATCACCGAACATGGAATTTAATATTGAGAAAACTCCAGCTCTTGATGAACCTTTCAAAAACGACGATGTTAGTATCAAGTCGAAATGTAATATTTCTCAAGCACAGACCCAGCAGGTGTGTCCAGATGTTTCCAGTTTCAGTATGAATCCTGAAGATGCTCCCAAAACAGGCTCGGAAGGACGGCATGGGTGGACGATGCCCATGCAGAAGGTAATCATTGTCCTTTAGCCAGTCGGGGAGGAGATGGTATGGAATAACTCGCCAATGTCCCTCCCATATCTAGGAATTATAAGAGTTTGTATTAATGCAAACAACTCAAACTGGAAATAGCAATTAAATAATATTTAATTAAAATTAATTGTTTAAATAAATTAAATAAATAATTAATAAATATCACGAAACATCACTGCTGGAAAGCTGTCAGTATAGGAGACTGTTGAAGATGTGTCATTTGTCACCTTATGCACGAACTCCTCCATCTTCTCCATGGCATGGTGTGCTTGCATGGGCAGTGTAACCACCCGCAAACCTCCTTCTTCCTTTTCATCTTCATTCTCATCAGGTGATGCTGATGCACCCTAAAAAAATTTTATCTTTGCATTTAGAAAATGTTCAGCTTGTAGTTTAGATTAGTTATTTCAACCTGACTTCATCAATGTAATGTAGACTACCATACATACAGCAAAAATTATGAAATTAGATAACAATTATAAAGAGCTATTCTCTTTCAAGAAAAGTTATAACAATTTCTCAAAAAATATCTCTCTCTCATTATTCTGCTATTAAGCATAACAGAAACAAATTTGATAACTTACCTAAAAAACAAAAAGTTTAGTCACATTAACATCTGACTTTTTTAAAATGGTTCTGACTTTTTATACAGTGTATGTAAACTTCTGGTTTCAACTGTACATACAGATTATTGAAAGTCTAAAGCAGGGGTGTCAAACTCAATTCCTGGAGGGCCGGAGCCCTGCACAGTTTAGTTCCAACCCTGCTCCAACACACTTACCTGTAGGTTTCAAACAAGCCTGAAGGACTCAATTAGTTTAATCAGGTGTGTTTAATTAGGGTTGGAACTAAACTGTGCAGGGCTCCGGCCCTCCAGGAATTGAGTTTGACACCTGTGGTCTAAAGCAATGTGTTTGCTACTTTTGTACTATTTGTCTTAAGTCAAATCACTGT